GACTCCCACAATTCTTTAGCCGTCTTGTAATTACAATACACACTATATAAAGTGTTATCTAATCCATTGAGAATGTAATTACGACATAAGAAATCCGCATGTTTCCATGCTTCAATAGCTAACTGAGTATTTTTATCAGTAGCATTCTCCGATGTTTGTGCAGGACATTCTTCACGCAGAAATTTTACTAAGTTCAATGTTGTCAAATATAATAGCATCTTCTGTTGCCAACGTTTGAAATCCGTGCCATTGAACTTTTCCGGTTTCTCATATTGTGAAGCTGGCGGCATGACAAATTGATTGGAACCTGAATTTGGCGCAATCACCGCATTAGTATTGCTCTCAACCGTACCAATCACAGCGCTAGTATTATTATTTGATGTACTAGCCATTTTCTGTAAAACCAGAATTACAGAAAATAATCAATAATAGAAATGTAGAAGAAATGAGAAAATAAAATATCTGTCTTAAGATTGTTGTCGAAAATTCGGCTAACGCAATCAAAAGAAGAATTAAAATAAGCAGAAAAATAAACAGTAAATGAAGCGAGGTATGCTAATAAAGTAAGCAAATCTCCTTAAGACAGATTTCGCCCCCCAATAAAGTGCAAACGGGATTATGGACGTCTGTCTCCCAAGATACAACACTCCTTCCAAAGTCGATACTGCACAATACCAACCTTGTCGGTCGAACCAATGAATGATCATACTTAAACGGAATAACCACGGAAGTATAAGAGATTTTTTTTTTGTTGAGAAGAATATGGAGAGAGAAGAATTTAGAAATCAATTGAATTCGTAATTGATTTGGTGTGTCAAAAACGAATCTGGGGGTCCCTATTTATAGAGATTGAAGTGTCTCATAGAACAGGTGTATGATATTTCAGGAACTGGTACACCACTTGGTCTGATTCGTCTTAGCCATTGGATCGCACTATTTTTATGATCTGACGGCCCAGATTGAACCATGAAGTGAAGTGTCCATTCATCATGCCTATTCACCAATTTCTGAACAGTCACAGCCATGCGGATGCCACGCGTACATCTAACCACCACGCAGGACGAAGGGACGTGACCTACCACTCGTGCGCCACCTAGAATGCCAACTCACCGAGCCTTGTGCTGCCACCTCATCGAACCATGAGTCCATTTTCGAAAACTATAAGGCTCCCCAGCTCCTCGCGACGATGCGTACGTGCGAAGTGCCCAATGCGTACTTTGCGACGTGCGACGTGCGACGTGCGCGTGCCGGGACCGGGTCCGGGGAGCGGTGTTAGTGGTGCGAAGCACCACTCTAGTGGTGACTAACCTTTGGCTAGCTAAAGTTAGCCAAGTGGTAGGTAACATATTAAATTATATATTATTCACACAACCCACTATATAAACAAGACTATTTTCTTGTAAACTTTCGATGTGGGACTCCTTTCCATATAAAAAAACACTTAAAATGGGTTTATCAACATATGGGCCTATATTGGAGACTTTTCCAATTCACCCAAAATAATTGCAATGGCCCATATCATTAAATATTACATTTAATATTTTAAACCCAAATCAAACCCAAATCAAATTCAATTAATTCAAACAAAAGTTGTGTGTACACCATTGTATACACAAAACACAACCCATAATGCCAACCACACAATGTACACTTAGTCTTTCGAAAATCTTCGAAAATTTTTGATTCCAAACTCAATTTACTCATCAAACGGACACAAACCAAGTTCCTCTGACACACGACTTCTACACTCCAATAGCCAGAAGTTTTGCCCCCACAAAGCATCAGGCTTTGGTGGTGATTAAAACGGAGGAGGAAGGGAATACGGGTAGCAATGTTTTAGCTCTCCTATAAGACGGCTGCTCTCACGTTTTTCTCTCCAATGTGCAAACACACACACGACTGTAGCCAAAAATGGAAGGATATAAAGCATCAATTTTGGTTACTTTCAAATTGGGCTGAAGGAAACAAATTGGGTCAAGTCTTATTAAATGGGCCAAAAACATACCACTGCCGATCCCAAAATCCCAAAGTGGTAATTACAGAAAACCCTAAAATTAAAATTTAGGATTCAAAAATAAGATGAATAGTTTAACATTTCAAAAATCAAATTTTTTATATTTAAATATTAATTATATAAATCAATTTCTCCCCTCACCTGTCCTCTCTTTCCAAATAATTATACTCTCTCTCCAATTCCTTATCTCTTCAATTAATTATATTCTCTCTCTCCACCCGTCCTCTCTCTCCACCAATCGTCTCCAATTAATTATATTCTCTCTCCAATTCATCCTCTCTCCTCTCCACCCGTCATCTCTCTTCCAATCTCTCTCGCCAAAAAATGCAGTTTCAGCACATCTTTTCCTCACCAAAAGTGCTACAGCTCGTTGGGATATTTTATTTATTTATTTATTTTTGGTGGTTTGCTATGGTAGTGTGGCGACGGCGTCGGTGCTAATCATGATGGTGGTGAGACTGTAGTGGTTGAGATGTTGATAATGGTGATGGCTGTGATGTGAGTTGTTGGTGATGTTGGCTAAGTTCTAGGTTTCGATCTAGCATTAGGTAGGAGTACATCAGGGAGGAGACGATGTTGCTATCGGTGCTAGTGGTGGTTCTGGAGGCAATGATGGCGGTGATACTGTTGGAGGCGGTGATACTGTTGGAGGCAGTGGTTTTCATAAAGGTTTGGGTGGTCACAGATTATTTGTTTGATTGAGACCACTGAATTGATTAATACATGATCAATAAATAATATGTGATCGATGAAGATAAATTGTGATCAATGTGACCTAAAAAATATTAATTTGTGACCGTGTAATAAGTTGTGACCTTGTGATCTATGACCGATACATAAATTGTGACGTATTAATTTCTGATTTATGATCGATGAATAAATTGTGACCAATAAAATTTGAAATTGTCACCGTAAAATAATTTGTGATATTTAAAAATTATGATTTGTGACCGAAAAATAATATGTGATTAACTAAATTATGAATCTGTGACCAAATTGTATAGATATGTGACTTTAATATATTTAATTAATAAAATATATAATTAATTAATTATGTGGTTGAAGGATTTAAATGTGTATTCAGTATTTTAGGGAGTTGAATCTGGATGCTTGATTTTAGGGACTAACTATAACGAATCTACTCTCTCTCTCTCTCTCTCTCTCTCTCTCTCTCCATATGGGATAATATATGGAATCCGGCTTTTGAAGGTAAGTGGACGCTGATTTTTAGAAAACTAATTGATTTTTTTATCTTTCTGATTTTTGCAAATTCAAACTTGTCATCTTAGTTTTGAAATCACATGTACTTATGCTAGGATATATGAATTTTTACCATAATATTAAAACGATGTTGGATAATTTTATATTGATATCTTAGTGATGACTCGATCCGAAAACAACTTGTGGCCATTTCAAGTAACTTAATTAAGTTAATATTTCTCGTGACCCAACACTCATTGATGGCTCAATTTGTGATTGGCTCCTCTCCTCCCTGATGTACTCTTGCCCAATGCTAGATCGAAACCTAGAAACTTAGCCAACATCACCAACAACTCACATCACAGCCATCACTATCGCCAACATCTCGACCACCACAGTCTCACCACAATCATGATTAGCATTGACGTCGTCGCCATACCACCAAAAAAATAAAAAAAATAAAAAAATCCCGACAAGCAATAGCACTTTTGGAGAGGAAAAGCCGAGCTGAAACGGCATTTTCTTGCGAGAGAGAGAGGATGGGTGGAGAGAGAGACGACGGGTGGAGAGGAGTGAGGAGAAATTGGAGAGAATATCATTAATTGGACATGATGGGTGGAGAGAGAGAATATAAATAATTGGAGAGAGAGGATGGATGAGGGGAGAAATTGGAGAGAGAAATTAATTTATATAATTAATATTTAAATATAAAAAATTTGATTTTTGAAATGTTAAATTACTTATTTTATTTTTGAATCCTAGATTTTAAATCTAGGGTTTTCTGTAATTACCATTAATATTATTGCTTGGGATTTAACGAGTATCAAAACTTAACACTTTAGCATTATTCTTCTTGCAAGCTCAACAAAGAAAAATGAGGACAACTCAACTTCTGTAAAGTTGTGTAAAACAAGATCAAGATGTACAAATAGCTTAATCCGTAACAAACACCAACAAAAGAGAGAGAGAGAGGCGCCGTGGCGGTGGAATCATTGGGAAAGGAAGGGTTTGCTATATTGGTCTCTTCCTTCTTCAACTTATGTTCTTTAACGTTTGGTTTCTCCAATATAGTCTTGAAGAAACTTCAAGTGACATCTATTCCTCTCATTTTATTATTTTTTATTTTGGGTGTTTGATGATGAACATTGCCATTGCAAATATTCTCTTCATGTGGTGTGTTGGATTACCTCTTGATTTTGTGCCTATGTCTAGAAAAAGAACATTGTATTCTATTTTGTTGATAGCGAAATTATCTCTCTCTCTCTCTCTCTTTTCTTTTTCTTTTTTTGGTTCTTGATTTTTCCGGTGTCTTAAAGGGTTTTACGACTTGATGTTGTTGCTTTATTATTTCAGTAATTTAAATTTTTGTGCATTAGCTTTGTTGAGTAGTTTGCACTGAATAATTTATTTGCACACTGATTAAGAAAATGTATTCCTTGCTTTAAAAATAGAGTGCTCTTATCTTAACAAAAGCAATAACAACGAAAAGAACAGATCAACGGTAAGAGTGCACTCTACACAATAAGAAGGTAGAGTTACAACCGAATGCTGAGAAAACATTATGCATCCGCTTGAATTTCATTTTCTTTTTCAAGACAAAATTTAATTTTTTCGTAGGTCACCCAAGTAATACCAACTTATCAACATTTACTTTTTAAAAAGTAGAAGTTCATCAAAATAAAATTAAACCGAGAGAAGCAATATCCGGTAACAGATTTCACGTGACATGAGGCGTAGATATATGATTCAAAGAAAAAAAAAAAAAACTTCTTTGTGCTACAAACGATCGCAATAACACATGAGAAATAAATATAATAATGATGTAGAAGATTCATCTACAGTTACAGTGGCGCTCCTTGCACAAATCAAAATTTTGAGCAGGACTTGTTATTCTTATTGGAAGAGTCTTCCTCGTGCCTCAGCGACACAAAAAGACGTATTGGAAAGAAGGGGAATCAATTGATGAATGAGTTGTTTTCACTTCGAACTAAAAATTCAATCTCAAGCAGGGCGTGAGCTGGGAATGATCTGCAAAAATTTCGCTCTAGCTGCAGAGTCAGTAGAAAATCGACCTAAGACTCCAATTGTAGCAGTATTGCTGCCATATTTCTCGATCCCTCGAGCTATCATGCACGTGTGATTAGCTTCCACAACTACCATTACATCTTCACCTAAAACAGATGAAACTGTCTCCGCTATTTGCCTGGTCAGTCTTTCCTGTACTTGGAGCTTGAATCCATAAAAATGTACTATTGACTGTAAAAGAGATCTTCCAACGGGGTTCACCCCATTGGAACAGTAAAAACCTATATGCACTACACCATGGAAGGGAAGCAAATGGTGTTCACATTGCGACCATAATGTCAAGTTCAGTTCTGAACAGAAACGATCTTCAATATGGTCTACTCCATTGGAAGTTAGAGAACCTCTACTATTTCGGACAAACCCATTTAGCTTCATATCCAGATTAGTATTTCTAAACTTCATTAACCACTTCACAAATCGAGCAGGAGTTTCAATGAGCTCTTTCCGTAATGGATCTTCACCCAAAGAAAAAAGAATTGAAGCTACTGCATTAAGCATTACTGAATTTGCTGGTTCTGTCATGCAGAAAGTGTGAGCCGGGCACCAAGATTTTTCATTCGAGCCTCTAGAATGGATATCCTCTGCATTTATATCTCGGAATCTCAGAAGACTTAAAAAATCTGTCCAACTATCAGACTTCTCGTCTTCGAAAACTCCTGACCCTGATGCAACTAAAATCTTAACCCATCCTTCGTGATTGGGGTCCAAAATGGCCAACTCAAAATTTGGCAAATGAATGTGAGAACATTGGAGAACAACAGCAACGCCTGTAGCTTTGATACCGTGCTGCAAAGCTGTACACAACTCATAGGCCAAGCGCCGTGGATCTTGAAGCCGTTTTGCAAAGATGTCAGCTACTCGAGAGAGCTTGCTTAGGCCTACAACCCGCTGGCCAGATGGGACATAACCCACGTGACATTTAATCTGGAATGGAAACAGACAAGACTCGCAATAGGAGAAGAGATCAAGATCTCGAACAATTACAAGCCCACCAACTCCACCAGCATGTCCAACTCCACTTTCTAACCCAGCTTCGGGGAATAAGGCGCCAGAGACAATGTCCTTCACCTTCTGTTTATAACCTGGATATCGCATAAAACATACAAATCATATTAGCAAAAAACACAGCTCAAGAAATCATATCTTATAAATTTACAAACAGATTTTTGATAAGAAAGTTCCTCCACATATTCATGGGCCACAGCAACACATGATTATACAAAAACGAATAAAAAATTGGTCATCGTCACTATGAACGACAACCATCATCAACTACACAGAAAAATTGAAAGGAGAATAAAATCCGGCAAGAAAATCAGACAAGGAAGCATCACCAAGTTTTGCTGCCAAATTCGAATACAACTGGTTTATGAAAATGCACACACTGCTTTAACAAGCCAGATCACTTAACTAGTGCTTGGATTCCTCACCCTCTTCTTACATAGTACCAATTTTCACATTTCCTATCAGGTTGAATACCAAAGTACTCAGATCTACATTAATCTAATAAAGAACAAGATAAGAATAACTAGAATCTACACACTTAAACTGAATCAATGGATTTCTCACCCTCCCCTCACTGTATTTTTGGAAGCAGAAGTCAAATAAATTGGTTCATATCCAATTAAGCCAACAATCAAACATTTTTCAAAAATTGGAGGACAGTTAAAGCTTTGCTACAATAGATGCTAATATATTTATATTAATCTTGATTTGCCTTGTAGATATTTAATTTAATCTAATAAAGAACAAGATAAGAATAACTAGAATCTACACACTTAAACTGAATCAATGGATTTCTCACTCTCCCCTCACTGTATTTTTGGAAGCAGAAGTCAAATAAATTTGTTCATATCCATTTACGCCAACAATCAAACATTTTTCAATAACTAGAGGACAGTTAAAGCTTTGCTACAATAGATGCTAATATATTTATATTAATCTTGATTTGCCTTGTAGATATTTACTGTTCGCAAGTAATATTTTACAGTTTAAACATGTTTCCAGTACCAGGAAGAAAACATTGAATCATTTTTCATTTCAAACACGGATGCTTGCAACAAAAGTCAAAAGCCACTTCTTAGTCTCAAAAGTTGCTTTTGTCCTTTAAAAGCCATGCCCAGCAGGGCCTAGGTATGTTTTCCAGTAGCAGGAAGCAAAATTCATGTATATTTACTTACTGCTATATTAATCAAAATCTTCCTTCTACATAAATCCACATAAGCAGTTTTATTATTAGCAAAACAGTTATATATAAACAAATCCATAGGAGTACAACTATGTAAATCTAATATTACTATAGGAAGATAACAAGTAACAGATCCAACCAATAGGGCCTTTTAAAATGAATAAAATAATGAAATTAAGCAACAGAAATGAATAATTACCTCTAGTTCCTTCCCGAAGAGCCTTGGCTACACGAAGAGGAGTCTTTCGTATACCTTCACGTTCGATATCTTCTCCCAAACCCCGCAAGAGGACTCTCACAGCATCCTCAATGTCCAGAATCTCAGGTTCCTCCTCAAAACTCAGTTCAACGCAGCCTCCACGCTTCACTCCATTTGCTAGCTCCAGATAGGAATGCCCCTCATCTAAAGCGCCCATTACAGAAATTATTCAAATCCCACCAACCCAAATCACAAAATCAAGATTCAGAGCGAACGAACAAAAATAAATCTCGCATTTTGAGAAACTAAAAACAGAACATAGTAAAGATTCAGCCACAAGATTCAATCTTTTAGGCTTCCAAATGAAAAGAATGACAGAAGATTAAAACTTAATGGCAGAGAGATGAAAATAAGACCAAGACATAAAAGGATCTAACAGATTAAATCAATTTAAAAAAGGAATATCAAAAAATCTTCACAAAACTCCTAGTAAGAACACGAATCAATTGGTTTACAAGGGAAAAAAAAATGTTAACCAAGGGTGTTATCGAGAGGAGAATATGATGAGAAGGGGGCGAGGGATGTGTGTGCGCGCAAATGTCCCGAGGCTATATATAAAAATGTAGGGTTGTCGACTTGTCGTTGACTTTCGATTGCGTGAAATGACTTTCCATTCTTATTCCAAAACTTTTATTAAAAGGAAAATTCTACGTGTACATAATTATTGCACATAATGATATTCATAATGTGATGTGTCAATTATTCGATTGTTGATGTACAAGTGTGAGATTTAAATTAAAGTTTGGATCTAGTTCCACGTGTAATTATGGATACTATTATGTAGATAATTATGTACATGTAACATTTCCCTTATTAAAATTATGAGATTTAACTAATCGAAAAGGGTTGTGCTATGAGTACATTAGAAGTGTCATAAGGATGTTCATTGTGCTATGGGTACATTGGGGTGCCACAAGGGTATCCATTAATGGACACCCAACACCCCCTAATTGAGAGGAGCCCAGATCCCACTGACGCCCCTCTAATAAGGGGGTATCGGATGTCCATTATGGACATCCTTATGGCACTCTCAATGTACAAGAAGAATAATCCAATTAAAAAGGTTCCAATCCTTCGATTTTAGTCTTGACATTTTCCATAGAGCCATTGGTTTAACAATATCAATTTAGATGACATTAATAAAAATAATTGAAATAAGTCAAATGATTTCACATTTCATTGAATATTATAATACTTGAGTTGAGATATGTTATTTATTTATACCGTTCACTTAATTAGAAATTGACACATCATGACAAATTAGAATTGATATTAAAGTAGAAAAATTAGAATTGACGACAACTTTAATTTTTCATGATGTATCAATTTATAGTTGATGGATAACAAAAATGAACAGCAAATCTTAATTCGGTAATAATTAGAATGATATTCTAATATCACTGATACTAAATAGTAAATATTATTATTAATTTCCAAAAAATAAAAATTGCAACTGGGATTTTAAACCTCGCAAATAACAAAGTATAGAGGTTTTCAAACTACTTTTTACAGCATCATCCAGTGTGTACAAAAAATGCATAATAAGAACGGTTGGATAAATTTCATCCAAAAATTCGTAAATCAATCAATTACAGAGCAATTGACCTTCATTCCATTTTAAAAAATAGAAAAAATATATTTTCTATATTTTCTCACTTAAAATAATTATGGTGCATTTCATTGCTAGCATGAAATTTGCATGAAAAGAAAATAAATTCTAAACAATTTAATAACCTAGAAGTTATTTGCATGAAAATTATTAATTAAATGTATTAGATTGATTTAGTTTTTAATCTATAAAATATTATATTTGTCCATTTTTTTATTGGTCAATAGATGAAAGAAAATGGATAGATGAGAAAGAGAGTGAATTCTCTGAAAAATAAAATCATAATCTCCTTAAAAAAATATATTTTCTTTGATTTTGAGAAAAATATGATCACGTGACTAAAAATAAAAAAAAAATGTTTTTCACCAAAAAATGTCAATCAAATAGCATAAAAACAAGAATTTAGGTGGAAAAAACAAAATTTTCGTGTAAAATATTGACAATCAAACGTGTTCAAAAAAAATAATAAAAGATGAAAAAGACAAAAAGGAAAAATTTGATAAACAAAAGAAATGAAAAGTCTCCTCTTACCCACCCCCACCAACATCAACGATAAATGAAGGAGATTTCTTTCCCCGAGATTCATGACCCAAATGCAATGAAAATAACCTACTTTTCAAGCTTTATTTTTTTTTTTAACAAAATCGCTAAACTGGGAGGTTTGGAACGGTTGTTCAAGACGACATACATGTGATGTTGGCATGGTGATGACGATAGCGTTAGGCGAGGATGTGTGGTGGTCTACTCTTGGGTTAGGTTAGGGCGGGGTTTGGAAAAATTGAAATTTTTTGTTTTTCCTTTTGTTTCATTTTTACTTTAACCTCTTTATAAAAATTATCTATATATCCTTCAAGTTCAATTATGCACCTAAATAATAGAATTTTAGTTGGAATTTATTCATAGGTCCTCCTAGTAATGCATCTTTCCTAAACGTTTGCAACTGAAGTGTCAAAATTCAAAAATAAAAGGTTTGGAATCCCTCTGTACTTTTCTTAAAAATTTGTGACCCAAACTGCAATTTTTCTTTCAATTACATTATCGCGAGATCTAACTCGTGGGAAAATGGGACGCAGATAATGCGCGATGGCGGCTAGCGCAAGAATGGATCGATGTACTAACATTTTCTTTGGGTATTTATTTGGTAATTTTTACGGTTTTAGGCAAGCAAAAGCAATATGTGGGCCCAAGTGAAAAGGCATCAGAGTCGGTACAATTATGATAGTATAAGACGTACTAAGTTGACCACTCAACGTCTAACCCACCAACCCATAGGCCAAAACTATTTGATGGACTTTTTTTAAGGCGTGATTTTTGTGGATTTCGTGGATATTTTATAGATTTATATGAAATTAGTGTAATTTTTCGTAGGCTTGTATGAATTTTTATTTTAAAATTTTTATAAATTTTTGTGAAATTCAAAAGACTTTTAAAGAGTTTTATTTGAAATAGAATTCATATGGATTTAGTGTGAAATTCTCACATACGATGTGTCAGTTATCACAACTCCATTTTTCCTTCCTATATAATAAAAAAATAGAAAAAAAAATAATTTAAGACATTAATTAAATGAATAATAATCAAAACTATATATATGATTCAATATTATAAGTATAGTATAATTATAAATTTTTCATATAAAATTTTATAATTTAATAAAAAAATAGATATTTTTTTTTACAAAAAAAGTGAATGAAAAAGGGAAAAAAAACTACAAGAATCCAATTTAATTGTTTCATAGAAAATATAGATAAATAATAAGAGAGAGAAAGAAAGATAAATGGAATATAATCAATAAAATAAATAAATTTTAATCAAACATGTATATGGATAGTTAAAGGAAAGAAGGAATGAAAAAATATGTAGATATTTTTTTTGTGAAAGTTTCCCAAAATTTCGTGATGAATGAGAGATAAATTTTAAGAATTTTTATGAGTATTTTCTGCTTAAAATTTAGTACTACAGAGACTTTTATAAAAGTTTCTAAAAGTTATTAAAATTTGAATACCCCAAAACTTATAGAGACTTCTAAAAATTTTTAATTGAATATACCGTAACTTTTAGAAACTTTTTAAAAGTCTATAAAAATCTTAATCGAATACACCGTGATTTTTAGAAAGTCTCAAAAAGTCTGAATTAAATACCCTAAAAATTTTTAAATCCAAATAAGTAATTAAAAGTCTCAATTGAATACACTCCTTTAGTCAAATTACATAAGCAACACTATGTTAGAAAGTTGATGGTTTTGAGTGCCTTTTTGTACATTTTAACATTTCCTTATGAATAATGTTATCTAGTCATTAGGATTATAACCACTCTATATGACGTTAATTTGATATTAAATGATAAGTACAATTATATTAGCCATTTAATATCACTTTTTATTTAACGTATTACTTAACGCCACATAAACTAGGGAATATAACCCCAACTAAATAACATTACTCTTTCCTTAGTGATCTGCTGTTGAAAATTTTGTGAAATTTCAATCTATTTTTGATTTGATTTTGAACCGTGGTTTTCTTGTATTTTTCCCATTCTCTTTAACATAACTATTTAATGGATTATAGGGGTGTCCACACCGCTCACATAATGCGGGGTCCATCTCGTGCGGGTCCCACCTTATGTGAAGAGTGTAGACATCTCTATATACCTAAATTATGTACACCAAGCACAATCATTTCTAAAATTATTTTCAAGTGTAATGGGGTACCAAGGGAGTAACCAATTGTTTGGTTGCACAATTTTTTATATTTCTGAATCTTCATCTACCATACCGTTGACATTTTTTTTTAACATAAATTCTTGTTTATTGATTCGTATTATACTCTATTTATATTTTTGATGCAGTTTGAAGCAAGATAAACACGAATAAGTTCAAAGGCTGGTTGATTCTGCAAACATGCAGATATTTGGGAGTCAAAAGTTTGTTGATTCTTGACAGGATTATTGAAAACTTGACTGGAAATGAGAAAACTGTCAATTTTTATTCAATAAGCAAAAACCCGAGTGGAGATCCTAGGATATCGAGATAGGCAATCCACCACTTATATAAGATGACAGGGAGAGGTTGCATTCACGCAGTAAAGAAGATGTCCCACACAGAGAAACTCAAGAAAAAGGTTGTCGATCTTATTTTGATCGCTTATAATGTGTGCATGTCATGTGCATAATCTTAGAATAATTATTAGAATATTGAAATTTGGAAGCACCCTATTACATTTGTACATGTTTCAGGCTCAAGGCTTGAAGTTCGACTATGCAGTCTTATCAAATCTTACGTCTTTTAGAACTTGTAAAATCTTACTAAAGAAGGTTCAAAGTGAAAGCTACCTATCTTGATGTGTTATCTTTTAGATAGTACTCTTCTTCCGTCTTCCTTGATTTGAGTCGACTTCTTCCATTCATGTGGGGGATTGTTGGAATTAATTGAATTTAATTTGGGTTTAAAACATTAAATGTAATATTTAATGATGTGGGCCATTGCAATTAATTTGGATGAATTAGAAAAGTCTCCAATATAGGCCCATATGTTGATAAGCCCATTTTAAGTATTTTTTATATGGAAAGGAATCTCACATCTAAAGTTTACAAGAAAATAGTCTTGTTTATATAGTGGGTTGTGTGAATAATATATAATTTAATAAGTTACCTACCACTTGGCTAACTTTAGCTAGCCAAAGGCTACTCACCACTAGAGTGGTGCGAAGCACCACTCACGCCGCTCCCCGGACCGCTCCTTGGACTCGGTTCCGGCACGCGCATGTCGCAAAGTACGCATTGGGCGCTTTAGAGGCGCACTTGGCACTTCGCACGTACGCATCGTCTCGAGGAGCTGGGGAGCCTTATAGTTTTCAGAATTAGACTCGTGGTTCGATGACGTGGCAGCGCAAGGCTCGGTTAGT